ACTAGAGCTCTTCTGATCCTCAAAAAACATCTTTTCATCACATCCTTAGGATGTGACAACCCAAGTCCTCATATCACACATATATGATAACTTAAGATCATTACCTCACAAGAATGTGATACAAAAACCCATGATCAAAAGATCATCATTTCCATAAAATAGAAATTGTCAGCCTTATTACCAATGTACGCGCAACTCCTGATTATGTCACCCTTGTTACAAATGTACGCATCTCCTGATTATGCCACCCTTATTACCAATGTACACAACTCCTTGATGTGTGACCGTTATTACAACACATCATGATATAATCATGAATCAAAACCAATTTTTTTAACCCAAAACTGGCAACCAAAACCGTTTCAAAACAAAAACTCATATAAGAACCTTAAAGTTCTATGCATATTCACCATCAAACTCAAACAACTTTCAAGAAACTGTTTACCTTTTTCAACTCAAGATAGCTTCAAAAACAGTTTACCTTTCTTCCACATAAACACCAATCAGTTCAAATATTTTAAATACTAAACATATAAGATTTTAATAACAAAATTCACCTTATATGCATGTATACAAAGAGGATTCTCACAGCAACAGTTTCCAAATATGATCACAGAATCAACTTTTTTTTTCTAATAACTTCACACAATCTTTCACACAAGATCACACACACACACAGAGTAAGGTTTCTTTCTTTTCTTTCTCTCCAAAAACAAACAGATAAGATAAAGTCTTATTTGTTCATTTTATATCTAGTCAAGAGAGGCGGTGAATATAAACTGTTTTAGAATCAAAATATCTCACTTTTACCAATGAGGTAAAACACTTATCTCATTTATCTCAATATAATAATAATAATAATAATAATATTATAATAATAATAATAATAATAGTAACCCATATTAAGTGGTGGAAATATAATAAACAATAAACAAGTAATCACAAAACACAAATATTTTAAAATAATTTACTTACAAACAAATCTTTCAAACCACCCTAAAATATATAAACGAAGACAGATTATCATAGTTTATTCACAACCACTAAATTTTTTTTATTAATAAGAAGCATTTTCTTCATCTAGCTATACGATGTTCAACTCTGACACAAGCCGATATATAATATTTCATTGTTTATTAATAATTCAATCCAAGCCAACCTAAAATATTTTCTTCTTATTATTAATTTAATGTTTTTTATTACCTATGATTTGATCATATCTTATTCAATAATTTTTAATGTTACTTTTTTTAAAGGAATTCAATAATGTTAATTATAATCACAATTTCATGATAATTAAAAAAATTTAACTTAAATCACCACCCAATTTATAATGTTTATAAAACCATAAAACAAGGTTTTAAAATACGTTGGACAAAAATTATAAATGTAGGATTTGATTTGATGAGGTGGAAATAAAATATGCAGAGGTTTAAAGGGGTTGGATTGATTTTCAGCATCATTTTCAGTTTTTAGAATGTGAGGGAAAATAAACTTGTATTTTTTAATATTGGTTGTTATAAGAAAATATTTAATTTACAAAATTAGTTAATGTTAAAAAAAATATAACCAGTTATGCATTAAACTATTCAAACTTATTCAAACTAAAGTTAGTTAGTAAAAGAACACAGTAGAAAGTTATCTTGTAAAAATCATTTCCATCGAATGTCATTGAACTAAATAACCCTTCGAATGAAGTCCTCCATATATGGATGTGTAACCTCTCCATCAAGATTTTGTTTTATTAATGACAATTACTCATATTGGGTTGTAATTGTTGATAATATGTCATATTTGTAGTCAAAAGGGTTATATCAAGTTGTAATAATTATAATGGTTCATATTAGCATGTACAGGGGCATATTAGGTTCTAATGGTTGACAATGCATCATGTTGGGGTGTAATGGGTGACATGAGTCATATTGGGATGGAATTGGAGATAATGGGTCATATTAGGTTATAGTTTGTGATATTGTGGCGTAATGTGTTGATATTAGGTTGTAATTGGTGATAATGGGTCACATTGGGATGTAATAGGTTGTAACGAGTTGTATTGGTTTATAATGGGTCATATTTGGTTGTAAGTGTTGTGATATGCCGTAGTGGGTTGTGATGAATGATAACGGGTTATAATGGGTCATATTTCCTTATAATGGGTGATAATGAGTCATATTGGGCTATAATAGGTGAAAATAAGTCATATTAGATGGTAATGGGTTATATTTGTTGTAACGAGCTATATTAATTGTAATGGGTTAGATTGGGTTGTATTTAACTATATTGTGTTTCAATAACCATCGAGCGAATACATATTTGTTGTTGAAGTTGAATAAAGTCAAGCTGACACTGAGAAGATGTGTGCGTTGGAGATTAAGCTCCAATGAAACTGCACATTGTGAAGTTGAAGCATCATCCGTCAATTGCCAATGAAAGGGCTTCACAACAATGACCTTCAAATGTGACCAAGTTTAACAACCTCAATACAAAAGAAGTCGTACACATGATAAAAGTACTTGCAACATTATAGAAGTCAACTATTCTTTGTTGGCAAGAATGTTAGTGTATAAGCCCAAAAGCCAATCACTGGATGATTCTGTTTGGACATTATGTCATGATATTTATTAATGAAAGGCACTGTCTAGTTATTATGTTCATGTATTACTCTGTGCTATAGCTAAACATAATAATAACCTTAGAATTATGTATTCTAATTAAATTGTCTATAGTCAAGTATTAATTCGGTTTTAGGTTGAATTAATATAATACAACTAGTATAGATAGGGATTCTTATGGATATTAAGAACCCAGTATGGGTACAAGATGTGATCATGTGTATCGGACGTGACTTGCTATGAGAACATTTCACTGGATGTGATATGTATGTCATAGACATTTCTCATGTAGTCATTGTAAAGTTCGTCCCTTGACTTGAGATCATGGAGTTTAATTTATGTGAGTGTTGTACTTTGATAATCAATTCTAATTACTATGTAACTGAGTAACATAATGATTGTTGGGTATATCGCATATCACTTAGTAGTACTAGCATGGATCAAGATGAGATTTGTTCATCTTGTTTGACGAGAATGATATCCCTGGGCCCGGTTGAATAGTACTGAGGAAGTACATGCATGCTTAGATGATCAATATAGGATACTGATATCTGTCTTTCCAGTATATTATGAAATCGAGAAACTAAAGATCAGATATAACGAAGATGACACATCCATGCCTCATGTTTAATCTGGATATCCGAACAAAGAGACATAAATGTGTATACTGATAATGATCACATAACTTGCTGATTAGCTAAATCACCAAACTTTATCATTTGAGTATTGCTAGATGCCGCTCTTCATTTATAAATATATATATGATTTATAATTACTATCAACGTCATAAAGTCGCAATAGGTTACACGCATAAAATGAATATTCGAATAAGGAGAACAAATTATCAAATAATGTACTTAATTATAATATCCGATTTATTGAGCTAAAATCGAAATATATCTAACTTGTTTGATAAGCATGAGATAGGCGTGATAAGTACTGACTTGTCAATGTCAATATTTTGTGTAAAGGAAAATAAAAATTTAAGAAGATATGAAATCTTCTAAATCCATGTGTCATTCTTCGTGCACTAGGACCTATGAGAATCAGACCTATGAGAACTAAAACGGTTGCAATAATTGTTCATAGAATGCTCTCTTTCTCTTTCTCTTTCTCTTTCTCTCTCTCTCTCCATATTCCACAAAGTTGTTCTTCCTTTCCTCCAAGGAGTTGAAGAACGTATCTAACATTTGGGAAAGAAGATGATCTCCTCTCTTGGTGTTGAACGTCATTCGGATTCAGAACATTTGCATGGATATCATAGAGGCAACGAGTTGAGTTTGTTGTTAAGATTTAGATACAGCATCAAAGGATTGATGCTTGTATTGATAAAATTTTGAAACACACATCCTACTACGATTAATTTTTACGGATTGTCACATTCATTACACACCAAAGACCAAAGTTTTTTTGGATGAAGTTATTGAAGCAACCATCAAATAGTAATAGTGATTACCAATTGCCAACCACCTTCTGACAAGTAGTTGGCCGTCCCCAACTACGGTATACATGTTTAAGGCCAAACAAAAACGATTTGACCGGTCTTGTTGGTTTTAACGTATAGTTATTTTCGGACTGTTTATCAAACGCTTATTCAGGTAAGCGTTTACCAAGTCAGAACCGTATCGGATGAATATGGTAAGATTCAATAATCTTACTCGGTAAGAGCGAGACAAGAACCAAGAATCTTACCCGGTAAATGAGGGCGACGAATCTTACCACGGTAAGCTTACCGGGTAAATTGTTGCATACGATACCGTTTTCGTGGACTAAAATCTTACCCGGTAAGTAAATGACAGTGTTAAATTTCACCGATAAACGCTTACCTAGTAAGTGTTTGGTACACGACCCCTTAATCCTTTGTTCAATAAAAAAAGATCGTATATACTAATCATATATTATTATATAGTTTAATGATTAGCTTTTATCATATGTCTTAAACCATACAATAATTATAGTAAAGAACATCTTTTTTTGGTTGTAATTTGATTAAAATATAATTATTATTATTATAACGAATGATGGATTTCTAAAACTCATGTGATTGTCTTAAAAATTGTATGATAGTTGATGGTATTAGCCTTTGATTTTCTTTGGTCAGACTCAGAGCCACTTTGTTTATAAGGAATGTGTGAAGTGTGATCGTGCCAGAGGTTCCAAAGTCAATGCAGCCGACACACCAAAACGAATGGATCAAAAGATCTCTGCATTATTATGTCAACTAGCATTTGTCAAATTAAATGTCTGGTGTTCTTCATTAATCTCCTCCACCAGATGCATCTTAATCATTTTTCCATGTCTGACCATGGACCGTACGTAGATGATATATACATATATACATTATAAAGAGCTTATGCATTTGGCATTTATATTTGCTCCTTCTGATTAATGGCTCTGTCATTTCTTTTCGGTTTGTTATTACTATCTCAAACACCATTCATATCATCATCACCATCTTCTCCTTCACCACCATCGGTTTTGAAACCAGGTTCATCTCTCTGGGTGGAGAACGAACATGACTTGTTGATCTCACCAAATGGCTTTTTCACTGCCGGATTCTACAGTGTTGGAGAGAATGCTTATTGCTTTTCAATATGGTATACTAAACCTCTCTCAGATGGAAGCCATACCATAGTTTGGATGGCTAACCGAGATGTACCAGTTAATGGAAAACGCTCAAAGCTATCCTTGTTGAAAACTGGAAATCTGGTTTTAAGGGATGCAGATCAACCCTTGCCAATTTGGACCACAACTTTTAGAGACTCAACAGAATCTGCTCAGTTGAAAATGAATAACTCTGGAAACCTTTACCTACAAAGCCAAGATGGCCAAATCGTTTGGCAAAGCTTTGCCTCCCCAACAAATACCCTTCTTCCCTATCAACTCCTCACCAAAGATACACCACTTGTCAGTTCAAGAAGTTCAACCAATCATTCTTCGGGGTTCTACAAGCTCCTTTTTGACAATGATAATGTCCTTCGACTTGTCTATGATGGTCCTCAGGTGACAGGTGTTTATTGGCCATCTCCTGAGCTACGAGCATGGGAATCTGGTAGGAGCACCTACGGATACCGAAGGATTGCATCCATGGATTCTTCAGGTCATTTCATCTCAAGTGATGGTTTATTCTTCAATACATCAGATGTTGGAGATCAGCCAGCCCGAAGGTTGACTGTGGATACTGATGGTAACTTACGAGCCTACAGTCTGGATGAGTTGAGAGGGGTTTGGCGAGTTACATGGCAGGCCATATCTGAAACTTGCAGACTTCATGGATCTTGTGGAGAAAATGCTACGTGTTCGTACAATCCTGGTCTTGGTAGGCAGTGCTCCTGCCTCCCTAATTACAGGATGATCAATCACACAGACTGGTCATATGGTTGTGAACCAGAATTCAAGCCATCCTTATGTGGCAATGGTGAGGACAACTTCCTACAACTTGCTCATTTTGATTTCTATGGCTATGATGCTAAATACTTGCCCAATACAACATTAAATGCATGTAAGAAAGAGTGTGCAAACATCTGCAACTGCAAAGGATTCCAGTTCAAGTATGATAGAACCCAAGGCTTTTTTCTTTGTTACCCCAAATTTAAGTTGTTGAACGGAATCATCTCCGTGAATATAAACGGTTCCATCTATCTGAAGCTGCCCAAAAGTATCTCCCTATCTTCGAGTAACAAGAAGGCTGCTGAAGGATTCAGCTTAAACTGTAGTGGGAAACCTACAATCCAACTTGACAGGGCTTATGACAAGAACGCTGAACAAGAGTCCATGAAATACCTGATGTTATTTACTTATGTATTTGGTGCATTAGAGATCATTTGCATTACCTACTTCTTTTATAGAACCCGAAATCCAAGCATATCTACACAAGGTTACCTCCAAGCTGCAACTGGGTTTAAAAGATTCAGCTATGCCCAATTAAAGAAGGCCTCCAACAATTTCAGCAACGAGATAGGAAGAGGAGGTGGTGGCATCGTGTACAAAGGAGTATTGTCAGACAACCGAGTTGCAGCAATCAAGCATCTTAAAGAATTTAGCAACAACCAACATGAACCTGAACTTCTGGCAGAGATAAGTACCCTTGGGAGGCTTAACCACATGAATTTGATAGAGATGTGGGGGTATTGTGCTGAGAGAAAACACAGTCTTTTGGTTTATGAGTATATGGAGAATGGGTCATTGGCTCAAAATTTGCATTCCAATAAGCTGGATTGGGGTAAGAGGTTTGACATTGCAGTGGGTACTGCGAAAGGTCTTTCTTATCTACATGAAGAATGCTTGGAATGGGTATTGCATTGTGACGTTAAGCCTCATAATATATTGCTGGACAGCGATTACAAGCCAAAGGTAGCAGATTTTGGCCTGTCGAAGTTATTGGACAGAGATGGAATTCGTAATTCACAGTTCACGAGAGCAAGAGGAACAAGAGGTTACATGGCTCCGGAATGGTTGTTTGTTAATTCTCCAATAACATCAAAAGTTGACGTATATAGCTACGGGGTGGTGATGTTAGAGATGATAACAGGTCGAAGCCCAATAAATAATGCCAATCAAAGCGGGGGATCGGAAAGAAGGCTGGATAGCTGGGTGACAGCAGTTATGGCAGCAGCTGGTGGAAAGAATGACTGGATGGAAGAGATCATAGACTCTAAAGTTGATGGAAAATATGACAAAAAGAGAATGGAAATTCTGATCAAGGTGGCTTTACAGTGTTGTAATGAAGATAAGGATGCAAGACCAAGCATGAGCCAGGTGGTGGATATGCTGCTAAATGTAGAAGAAGGCAATTCTTAATATGGAAATGTAATCTAATCATTATCTTTGCTACAATTAACATTCATATTGAGCTTCTTGGATGTTTGTATGTTATGAAGTTCATCATTCAAGCTATTTTTTTAATTAACCTGGATATCCAACCCGCTGTGCGAGCCGACTAATCCCAAAACAACCACCTGCTTTGCAGATAGCCCGAAGTCATCGCATTTGAACTTCTGTGGCCATAAAAGGGATTTTTATTTCTCCTTAGATTTAAACTTGGGACAACCTGACACTTTTGATCTTTGGAGCCAAACCAATCAGGCACTACCCTTGTGATATTCAAGCAAAATTTGAACAAAAATAAAACTATGTATGAAGTTATTATACAAAGAAATATTGCTATCTTTTAACTTTCCATAACTATTGGACACCCAATCTAAATGCAATTCAATAGAGGTGGTCCGAGTAGGGTACATGTGATGCTAAATTAATGGTGTATTTTAATGCATTTGAACTTGTAGTACCTAATAATTCAAAACTTAGCTTACCATGTCATTATATATAAATATATGACAGTGACTTGAATCAAGTGATCCAAAGAGACTCCCAAAGATAAAGAAAACTTTAAGCAACTTTTGACCAGAAAAGGACAGAAAGTATGCTTGAACTAATTAATCTTTGAAAATTAAATGGAGTAAGATATATGAAAAAAATAAAGTTTTAATTTTTATAAATTTTTTAAGTCTTTAATTGAAAAAAGTTAAAATTTTAAGATCAAAGATGGTAATTTTTTGTGTTCAGAACCCACATCTCAAAATTGGTCAATTCACACAAATTGAATCTATTTTTCACGATATATTCAATGAAAGAAAGAAGTAGAATCAGAGTTGTTCACTTTAGTGAACAGAAATTAAATATAATGCACTAAATATAAAACCAAGCTGATTAAAATGTCGATAAATAGTAATCTGCATGGTAAAACATGTCCTTAAAAGTTTTATACGACTACTCTTTTCTCGCTGTGAGTCTCTAGTCGCAAATCCCTAGGATTTGATGTAGCATACGTTTTCGTTTATGAACAGCGATTAAAATTAAAACGAAAATAGAACGAGGTAGATGCATAAAATGGTAGAGAGAAAAGGACGTTCGGAAGCAGCAATCGTAGAACGAAAAAGACTGAATTTTTTGTGTGTGTTTAGAGTTGGCTTCAACCTAGTATTTATACTGGGTGAAACCCTAAGCTTCCCACGATTAAATACTGGGTGAAACCCTAAACTTCCCACGATTAAATACTGGGTGAAACCCTAAACTTCCCATGATTTCCTCCCCATATATCGCACAATGATGGAGAAGTTGGAGGATTATCCTCCAATGATCGTTATCTCTAAAACGTGGCTAAATATATTTAAAACAGACTTTAAATTCAGTTATTTTCCTTCTCTCTCGACTTTGTACCGAAAAGATACTCAGAGCTCGGGACAAGGCTCCTTCTGCTCTGATGCGGCATGCGCGTCCTCGCGCCACTTTCGCGAATCCCGCGCCCTCGCCCACGGTCGCGCGCGTGTGTGCATTGTGCCTTCCACTCAAGACTACCACCATGAGTCTACTCATATGTTCAAAGTCCAATTCTAGAGAAAGCCTTATAAGATTCTCTAGATTTCTTTATATACCAATGTGGGATAGAAGACAAACTTCCAACCCACTAAAATTTCCAATAATCCCCCACCAGGTTGGAAAGTTTTCTAACATTCATAGTAGATAATATTACGGTGGTGTCACTAAGATTAAACCCTGTTTAATGTAAGTATGCAAGAAGGGATCAATCCAATGATATCCTTAGGATTTAAACCTTGAATCTTGTGACCACTTTGGCTTACTTACACACATCATCTATCATCCTTACTCTCTCACTGAGCGCAAATATGGCCATGCGCTAAGCCCTGTTTCATGACTTACTAAAAGAGAAACCACTACTCTTCGTTTAAGGTGGCACCACCTCTAAGTTATATAGGAAAAGTTCTATAACATCTTTGTTGGTAAGATGCCTCTAAACTCTGTTAAGAGATTGACTCATGCTTGTTCTCGACAACTTCATACTATCTTTCACCTTACATGGATCTATCATTTGATAGTACGTTCTATCAGTTAAGTGACTTGTTGTTACCCTTTAAACTTGGTAAATAGGAGCACTATATCCAGGTTGAGTTTCCATCACTAACTGATTCTACGAGGCTTCAGACCCATGTCTCTGGTAATTAACCCTACCAAGTCTCTCGTCAGAGGCTTGGTTAGTGGATCTGCCAAGTTCCCACAAGAGTTGACAAACACAATACTTATGGTACCATCATCAATTAGTTGTCTCACGTAGTTTTGTCAGAGACCTATGTTTCGTGACTTCCCATTATATATGGCATTGTATATTTTTGACATAGTGGCCTCACTATCACAGTACATGGGAATTGATGGAGTCGGTCGAGGCCATAAATGGATATCAGTCAACAAATCTCTTATCCATTTGGCCTCTTTGCCCGCTGCTGCTAAGAATGAATTTGGCTTCCATAGTCGAATGGGCGATACACGTTTGTTTCTTGCTTGCCCAAGAAATCGCCCCTCCAGCAAGAGTATAAATCCACCCACTTGTGGATTTAGAATCACTTGAGTGATCTATCCAACTGGCATCGGAATATCCCTCCAAGATTCTTGGATATGTAGAGTATGTCAACTCTAGATCTTAGGTTCTTTTCAAGTAGCCCAATACTCTTCTAATTGTTTTACAGTGATCTGAACCCGGATTGTTGGTATATTGACTCAATCTACTCACAACAAAAGCAATGTCCGTTCTAGTGCAATGCATTGCATACATCATGCACCCTATTGGACTAGCATATTCTAGTTGAGCCACTACTCTACCAATATTTTTATCGAGTTTCACACTTGAATCAAACGGAGTGTTAAACTCCTTTATATTCAAATGTTGAAACTTGGTCAGTATTTTCTCTATGTAGTGAGATTGACTTAGAGAGATTTGAGATGCTGACCTTTTGATCTTTATCCCAATGATGGTATCTACTTCTCCAATATCGTTCATCTTAAAGTCCGAGGATAAGTACCCTTTTGTCTCAAGAATACCATCTAGATTGGTTTTGATGATCAACATATCATTAACATAAAGATAGATTAACACAATGTACCCTCTCGTGCTTTTTGAGTAGATGCACCAGTCGGCCCCATTATGTCGGAACCCGAAAGATGTGATAGTCGTATCAAATCTTTTATGTCACTATTTAGGATCTTGTTTTAACCCATATAGAGATTTAATAAATTTACACACTTTATTCTCTTGTCCAGGTACTATAAATCCTTTAGGTTGCTCCATGTAAACCTCCTCGTTTAAATAGCTATTCAAGAAAGTTGTTTTCATGTCCATTTCGTGAATATACAGTCTTTTCATAGCTGAGATTACTATAAGAGTTCGAATAGAACTAATTCTAGCAACTGGAGCATAGGTGTCGAAATAATCGAATCCTTATTTCTGTCTATACCCTTTTGCCACCAATCTAGCCTTGAAAGATGATACTAAACCATCAGGGTGCATCTTTCTTTTCACTATCAACTTGGAACTGATGGGTTTGACCCCTGTGGGCAAATCTGCCAGCACCCAAGTTTCGTTCCCCAAGATGGAGTCCAGCTCATCATTTATTGCTTCCTTCCATAGTGGAGCATCTCTTGAAGTCATGGCCTCTTTATGTGTCTTAGGATCCTCTTTAGTACTAATAGAGAAAATGAACTCTCTTGTCACTTTCTTTTGTGTCCTTTCTACCAAGTACGAGAAGAAATCATTTCCCAGATTTTTCTCTTTTCTCACTCTTGTGCTTCTTCGTGGTTCGTCAGCCTCATTAGAGGTTTTGGAACTATCAAAACAAGAGAGATTAGAGGCCAATCTTGGTTCTGGTCTTTCAGCATCTTCTGAAAATCTATCTTCAAAGAATTCCACATCCCTGGATTCTACTATAACTTATGACTCTTTGTTCAATAATCTATAAGCCTTGTTATTTATTGCATATCCAACAAATATGCTCTTGACAACAAGGGCTCCCAATTTAGATCTTTTTGGGTTAGAAGTTCGATTGTATGCAATACAACCCCGAACTCTTAGGTAGTTCAAATTTGGTTTTCTTCCTCTCTAGAGCTCATATGGGCTGGTTGGAATCACATAACTAGTGATTCAGTTATGAATATGGCAAACCATTAACATGGCTTATCCCAAGATATTGTTAGGCAATCCCGATTGGTTCAACATACAGTTGACCATTTCAACAAGGGTTTGGTTCTTTTGCTCTACCAATCCATTTTATTGAGGAGTAAATGGTGACGTCCGTTCATGTTTGATACCATTCTCTTCACAGAATGTATCGAATTATCTATTAAAGTATTCACCACCTCTGTCTAATCGAAGTATTTTTATCCGTTTTTTGAGTTGATTTTCGACTTCAGCTTTATAGAGTTTAAAGGCTTCAAAAGCTTCATCTTTTGAGTGTAACAAATAAACATGTAAAAAATGACTGAGACTATCACAAAAAGTAATGAAATATCTTTTACCTTCTCGGGTAAGTATTCCATTTAATTCACAAATAGAATGAATCAACTCTAAAATTGACATGTCCCTCTTAACAGATGGAAAAGGTTTTTTTGTATATTTTGATTTTACACAAGTTTCACATTTTCCAAAATCTTTGTTATCAATTTTGATTAATCCTTTGTTATGCAGTTTTTCAATATTTCTTACATTTCTATGTGCAAAATGTTTATGCCATAAAGAAATAGAACAAACAAAATAATCCAAATAAATAACTTTATTAAAACCGTTGGGAATTACATCACTTTCAATAGTAAAAACTAAAAAATTTGAAACTTCTCCAGACGTGGCTAAAACATTACTCCCTACTGACTCACTAGGTCTGACCTCCTCACTACTATCCTCACTTATATTCAGGCGATACATACCTAACTGGTAGTATCTCTTTCCAATGAAAGTCTTTCTCTTGTATATCATGAGCTTTCTTGTC